AACTTCGACCCCGCATGGTATAACAACCAGGACGACTACGTTCCTCTGGACGACGATTAAAGAGTTCGTGGAACTCTACCTTGAAACGGGGGTAATGTTACAAAGTGACATCGGCTACATGGCCCCCCTATCATTTTTCCCCTTCGTCCTCGCCCTCGTATGCCTCCGGCTCGCACTTCTCTACCGACTATCCATTGACCGGATCCTCGGGACCGTTCCCGTCCCTCATCCCCCTCCTATCGCACCAATGTGCGCACGTGCCTTCGGGCTATGACTCGTTCTGACTCGTGCCACCAATGTGGCTTTCCTTATCTTGTCTTATCTTTCCTTTGACTCGTGCATGCTGCACATTGTATCATTTACCGTTGGCTCGTTCCAACGTTTCTCGGTCTCATTCCGCATTCGACCTTACATCACTAATCAGGCTCTGCCACCATCGTACCTATACCCTTTCCGTTTCCCCTTTGCCCTTACCTACAGTACGGTAGCCTTGCCCTTAACCCTTTCCACTTAGTATAAGTAGTCGGTCACTCTGTACTAGATTCCCTAACTTGAATCTACTCAATCTTCCCTCAAACATACTTCTCTCTGAAGCCCCCTCAGCTTCAGTCTCTAGTATCTTTTCTTAGGTGCTCATCGCGCCTAAGTCTACCTCGATCGACCACCTCATCGTTCGGACAAGACTGTCCTTACCTTGAGAACGTCAGTGACTTTGAAGACATCTGTCTTAGAAGTCACGTGACACGCGCGTCTCTGATATCTGCCGACTCGACGTCGCCAGTCTCAGTCGCTACACCGGACCCTTCCGGTTACGTCACGAACGTTAGCGGACAACGCCCCTCTTAGGGCTCCGCATAACAGATCTATTTGAGTGCGTAACACTTAGGAGACAAGCAAAACAAAAGAGAGGTGCATCTACTTAAGGGAGTCATTGATCTGCCTCTCCAATTCAGCCCACGCGTTGGACATAGCGAAAAACTTGTTGGAATAGTTGAGGAGGTCCGCCTGTTGGGCGCGCGCATACTGGCGCATCTGGAGAGTGGAAGTGCGCAAGTGCGCATTTTCCTCCTTCAAACGCACGGATTCCGCGCGCGCCTCTTTCAACTCCACCGCTGGATCCTTGAACTTGTCCTTTCCCTTAGGCGCAGAACCAGATGCCAAAGGACCAATGGCGTGCACAGGAATATCGCGCGAGGCGCGCACGACCTTCTCCTCCACAGAGCGCTCTCCAACAATCTCCACATCCATCTCAGACTCCTCAGATTCTTCTTCATCCTCAACAGCAATGGAGGAAGCGGTCTCCTTTGCAGACTCAGCAATAGGGTGCTTAGGCATCGGTTTGCGCGGGCGCGCCTTAGGCGCATCAGTAATGTTGCGCTTAGCTAATCCACAGCAGTCAGTGGCGTGCGCCAACAATAGACAAGAGGCGCGACTTACAGAAAGTGCAAGCGCGCTTGGAAACATCACAAGGAGGGCACCGGCGTCCAGGCGCGCCTCCACAGTCTATGTCCTTGGCAATGCAGGCGCCACAGCGCCGTGCCTTGACCACAGGCATGACCCGACGCGCGGCTAGCGCAACCAGACATGTTAATAGAGTGGCGTGCCAACAGGAAACAGAAGACGCACCTTCTTGCTGACATCAGTACCAGACGCGTCAGTGGCGCGCGCCTCAACTTCGGACACACCAGTGGCGCGCGCAGCTTGCATGGGAGGCGCCGGTGGAACTGAGGCAATTGCCTTCACCTTCCAGTCCTTCACGACCGCCTCAATCTCCTTACAACTCTTCCGTCCCTGCTTTAACGACTCCACGCTCTTGTCATCCATCTCCAGCGCCAATGCCAACACACCCGCGCGCGTGGAACAACCGTTCAAGGTGGCCTAGGAATGTCAGTCCACAATAGACAAATACATGTAAGCACACTCACCAGCACTGAATACCACTCGCGCAACCACATCTCTTGATCCTCGAGGAGTTCCGGCTTGAGATCAGGCACGGACATCACACATCCTTCCAAAGAGACCAGAATGGAGGCCCAAGCAACAAGGAGGCGGTCAGCATCAGATTCCGCGCTAGCGTCACCCATAGGCACATCCTCAGGAGGCCCTTGCGCCACTGGAACAGGCTCAGGGGAAGGAGTGGCGTTCAACATATGTATATATCTTTACATATCTACTTGGTAGCACTTCGGCTCTGCATGACAGCGCTTAGGCGCCTATATAAGCGCCAGCAGTACATACTATTACAGGACCTAACTTTCCATTTTTTACAACTTACCTTACCTTACGATACTTTCCACCCACTATCTACCTAGAAGAACATAGTAGAAATCTATTTGTCTGCACTTTGCACCTCTCTTCACTTATCTTGTATTATATTATCACTTAAGCTTGGTCTCTCTATCATTTCCGCATGCACGCGCACTTTCCCACACTTTGCGCTAATACGCGCGCGCTGTAGATGAGGAATCTTGACTATACGTGAAAACACTTAAAACAAAAGGGGTGCTCAACAGCAAGACTGGGATACGAGACAACGACTCGACCCAAAGGACAACCACTGAGAGAAGTTCCTCGAAATAAAGTGGAGGGAAACTCTGTGAGCTAGGCGGGCGCTAATAGGCGCGAGAAGATAACGCGTGCGAAGGCGCGCGTGCGCAAGGCGAAGGCGCGCGAGATGCGCGCGTGAGCGGGAGGTCCGAGAATGCGCGCGCGCGAAGCGAAGGCGCGCCTAAAGCGTTAGAGGCAAGATCTTACTGAGGAGTGAGTGCAAAGGTGGAGGATTGACAGGAGGATATGATCAGATAACAAGTGGGGAGGTGATCTATTCACTTTCCAGTACACAAAGATAAGGGAAAAGTAAGTACCAGAACTAAAGGAAACCCTTCTGTATTTAAGAATGGAGAAGGCGCGCTTCCGAGCGCGCTCCCGAACCGAGTAACCATATCAACTCTAATTATAACTAAGTTTAAATAAACTTTCCATAAGTAGCGCGGATGTCGGACCGAAGATTTTATTAGTTCAATGGATAAGATAGAAATAACGCACCAGCGAATCAGTAAGGACATGGGACGGATGGACGGACGATAGCGCGAAGACCTATGAGGAGGCGCGCATAGCGCGTGCGTAGGTAAGGCGCGCGTAAGTGCGCGCGAGTTCGGATAAGGCGCGCGCAAGTGCGCGCGAGACTGGTCCTTAGGAGTAGAGCTGTAATGTATAGGAATGTATGGTTAAAGGCCGGATATTCGTCATTGAGACGCGCGAGTCTCTACAGCGCATTCCCATGCCTCGCGTGCACCTGCACTTTCTCGTGCCTCGCTTCAGCGCATACCTCTAGATCTTTGCTCCACTCGCTTCCCCTTTAGGGTCGAACGCACTTGTCATCTCAACCATAGCAGACTAGGCAACGCACGACCTTTAACATTTTTAGATACAGTTAGGAGCTCCATTTGTTCCTCTCAGTATCGTTGTTTCTACAGCGCCAATGCCGCAAGGAGATATACGAGCCAAGCAACTGCGACTAAGTGGACATAAGTACGTGTCAGTATTTGATTTTGCGTCTGGATTCTATGCTGTCGAGGTTCCAGAAGAGTCGAGACCATACACAGCCTTCTATGTAGAGGGACGAGGTTATTTTTGGTATAAATGTATGCCAATGGGACTCACTGGAGCACCCACTACGTTCTGCGAAATGACAGCGGCACATCTACACGACTTAATTGCAGATACCACTATGGAAATCTTCGTGGACGACGGGGGTAGTGCAGGTGACACGTTCAATGAAATGTTTGAGAAGCTAGAACACATCTTTCAGCATTGTAGAGAGCGAAAATTGTCATTATCACCTATGGAGTGTCATCTCTTCATGACGGAAACGACATTTGCAGGAGCGACAGTAGGGCCACAAGGAGTACAGCTGGATCTAGAAAAACTAACCACTATCATAAACTGGGAAAGGCCAGCAGACGCACTCAACTTGGAATCATTTTTAGGACTCACCAGTCATTTTAGGGACCTAGTACTAGGGTACATGAAATGAGAAGGACCACTGCGCAACTTAGTCAAAGATGCACCGCTGACACACCCATATACCAAGAACACGTACCAACACATACTAAGGAACCACAAACTGGACAACCGATGGAATCAAGAGCATACTAAAGTGTTCTTAGATCTAAAAGCCGCATTAGTAACTCGTCCCATCCTACAAGCGCCAAAGTATGATGGATCACCTTTCGTCGTTACATCCAATGGTTGTCAAGAGGGACTAGCAGCGGTGTAGAGAATCATGCCTCTCATGGCATGATATGGCAGTTTCCACTAGGGAGTATACAGCACAAACTCGCAGCACCACTCTATGTACTGTCCACAGCTATTCCTATATGAGGCGCAGCTTTCCCGCGCAACGCGCGCCATTCCCACGCTTCACGATGTATGCGCGTTCCCGCGCTTGAGCGCCCTATAGTGCCAGCCATCCAGATGCATCCATCCACTGTCCTCCAAGTTCTCTAGTGCGTATATTTCTGTTTCTCTCATTTGTATATTATTCCACCTTATTTGTATCATGGACCCTTACTTATATATATCTCTACATACCTACTCGGTAGCGCTTCGGCTCCGCATTACAGCGCTTAGGTGCGCTATATAAGCGCCAGCAGTACATACTACTCCAGACTACTTTTTACCACTGAACTTGACCTCTAACTTTACCTACTACTTACTACCTAGAAAATCATAGTTGAGATCTATTTGTCTGCACTTGGCACCTCTCTTCTCTTATCTTGCATCATATTATCACTTAAGTCTAACCTCTCTATTGTTTCCGCACGTGCGCACGCTTTCCCGCGCTTCGCGCTAATATGCGCGCGCTTTCCCGCGCCTTCGTGCCTTGTGTGCACCTGCGCTTTCTCGCGTACCTCTAGATCCTTGCTGCACTCACTTCCCCTTTAGGGTCGAACACGCTTGTCATCTCAAGCATAGCAGACTAGGCAAACATACAACCTTCAACATTTATAGATACAGTCTGGAGCATCATTTGTTCCTCTCAGTATCGTTGTTTCTACAATGGTCACACGGAAACCATTGCAATCTGTTTCGTCTCTCATGTCACTTACTCGTACGTGTACCAGCGGATTGAAGCTTCGCAGAGAGGGTACCGTAAACTTGCCAGTGCGCGCGAGCGTGAAGAAAGAAGTGGTGAGACATGCGTATACTGCAGCGTGTAGAGATGTGGATAGATCTAGCGCTGAGTGGAGGCGAATGATGAGTGACATGGTGAAGGGTTCCCATTTTGGACGTGTGGAAGCTGCAGGAGCGAGATGTTTACCTCCTTCTAGTGCTAAGGATATCTGATCTTGTTCGACTCGCCAAGCTTGGCCGTGTAACAGGTGCCAAGCTCTCATGGAATATAAGTAGTTCTTGAGTGTTTTTCCCGAATATAGCCCGGCACAGGAAGCGATGAACGCGAGAATCAGGATTGAAGATGCTGGGCAGTGTTGGGACTCTGGGACATTCCTGGAGTCACAAAAGACGTAAAACACCAGAAGACCTGAGCCGTAGGATTCTCTGGTGCTGGGAGCGTGGGAGTGCGCGATCACAGTCAGTATGCGGTCGAGGTCATTCTCGGATATTGTTACTGGTGAACCTGCATGATCTAACAGAGACCGTGATATTCCTGGTACCCATAGCCTTAGCCTATCCCGTGCTAAACAATGCGGTCTAAGAGGCGACATGATGGGTGTTAAGTCTGGTTTGTAGGGATGAACTGATGCACTGGCAGAGGAGACAATGATGGGGGGTGGTGTTACAAGTAACATCGGCTACATGGCCCCCCTATCATTTTTCCCCTTCGTCCTCGCCCTCGTATGCCTCCGGCTTGTACTTCTCTACCGACTATCCGTTGACCGGATCCTCGGGACCGTTCCCGTCCCTCATCCCCCTCCTATCGCACCAACGTGCGCACGTGCCTTCGGGCTATGACTCGTTCTGACTCGTGCCACCAATGTGGCTTTCCTTATCTTGTCTTATCTTTCCTCTGACTCATGCGTGCTGCGCATTGTATCATTTACCATTGGCTCGTTCCAACGTTTCTCGGTCTCATTCCGCATTCGACCTCACATCACTAATCAGGCTCTGCTACCAGCATACCTATACCCTTTCCGTTTCCCCTTTGCCCTTACCTACAGTACAGTAGCCTTGCCCTTAACCCTTTCCACTTAGTATAAGTAGTCGGTCACTCTGTACTAGATTCCCTAACTTGAATCTACTCAATCTTCCCTCAAACATACTTCCCTCTGAAGCCCCCTCAGCTTCAGTCTCTAGTATCTTTTCTTAGGTGCCCATCGCGCTTAAGTCTACCTTGATCGACTACTCATCGTTCGGACAAGACTGTCCTTACTTTGAGAATGTCAGTGACTTTGAAGACATCCGTCTTAGAAGTCACGTGACATGCACGTCTCTGATATCTGCCGACTCGTCGTCGCCAGTCTCAGTCGCTACACCGGACCCTTCCGGTTATGTCACGAACGTTAGCGGACAACGCCCCTCTCAGGGCTCCGCATAACAGATCTATTTGAGTATGTAACAAAAGATTCAAGTTTCCCTTTTTGCGCCCTGCCATCCGCATGGCCCATTAACCGACAGACACCACAACTACCTGGATCCCGAAGTACCCTTGGGAACGTAATCCCAACACTCCGGACTCCGAAGAAGAAGAATCGGAAGAAGACCATACGTCCTCCGACGAGTTTCCCGACGAACAACTGTACGGCAATCTCAACTTGAACCCTGGAACAAGAATGTCCGGAGGCCCCACCCAACAACTGACAGTGGTCGTATCCAGGCCTGAACTAAAGGCTGGAGTACCACAGAACTATGATGGAAGCATCGATGATTCCGAGCGCTGGATGTACTCGGTGGAGACATACTTCCTCATCAACCCGACGATCTATAACACCGACCAAACCAAGGTCGCTGTTGCACTCCAGTATATGAACGACGGAGACGCCCGCGTCTGGGCCGACACCTTCTACTGAGAGGCCTTTGCCAAACCTTCCATTGACTTCAGTACCTGGAAGGACTTCAAGAAGGCCTTCACCGAATCCTTCCATCCAGTCGACCGGATGACTGAGGCTCTAACCAAGCTTCACGGTTTGAGCCAAACCGGCGATGTGATGCCCTACATTGCGACGTTCAAGACCCTGTCGTCCACTGCTAGTCTCAAGCAGGACATTGCCCTCATCCACTTCTTCGAACAAGGGTTGAAACCAGGACTTCGGACCGCCATCTACGGGAAGGAGGTCGTCTCCACCACCATCAATAAATGGTACACTGCCGCAACACAGTTGGAATCCAACTACAAGCGATCAAGAGCAGTTGTGTCCAACAACAGATTGGTACGCCCTTCCGGCCACCAGCACGTCCCCAAGCCTCAGGTCCGCCAACGCGATCCTGATGCTATGGACGTCGATCGTTCCCTCACGCCTGAGGAACGACAGAAGTGCTTCAATAAAGGCCTTTGCTTCAAATGCAAGGAGAAGGGCCATCGAGCAAACGACTCCCGGTTCCACCCGAAGGTGCGCCGAGGAGACAAGAACGACGAAGAAGACAAAAGCAAGAAGCCAAGCAACTCTGGCGTCCGCCAGCTTGACAAGTCTTCTGACGAGGAAGACATGAAAGTCAACCTTGTCAAAAGAAAGGATTTTTAAAGAGAGGGCTTGTCAAATGGTCAATTCCCTCTATCTGCGCATTGTATACTAAAGCTGTTGGTAAATCCAACGAGTTTTGTGTCCCGGTGACACTTTTCTCTTCTTGCAGTGCCAAAACCATTCAGTCGACCGCAATAATTGACTCAGGGGCAGGTGGGACTTTCATTAGCTATGACTTTGTCAAGCGAAATGGGATCCGGACCCACCTACTCAAGAAACCCTTCCGGATCACCACAGTAGACGGGAGCCCATCCTCGGCAGGACAGGTAACCCACTACTGCATGCTATTCATTCGTCTCAATCGGAGACTTATGTATGGAAAGTTCAACATAACGAAACTTTCCAAGCATGATGATCTACTTTTTGGAAAACCTTGGCTTAGCGCCATGATGCCCAATATCGACTGGAAGGCCAACACGATCTCCCTGCCTGCGACCAATAGGTCAAAGAAGGTGGAGAGGGAACTCAACGCCTCCCGGTGAGAAAGCAAGGCTAAGCCATATCTCTTTCGTGGAGAAAAGGCTGTCCTAGAAGAACTCGACGACGAGGATTTTTTGCCTCTCAAGCGACTCCCTGAAGGCACTCAACATTGCCTTGAAGAAATCAAGAAACGCAAGAAGCGTAACAAGAAGAAGAAAGCGCCAATCATTGTGCCCTTCGAAGACACCGACTTCAACACTATGGACGATGTCTGGGTCAGACAGACCCATCTCGCGGATAAAGTTGAGGAGATCTCCACTTATCCCCTCACTGACGATGAAGTTCTAGTGGAATATGCTTCAGACGGAACGTCCGTCCGGATCATCGAGAACATCTCTTTCGACACCCCACTCACCAAGGATGGGACCTCGAAGAAAGAAATCCGGAAGGCTCTCCACAGACGAGCAAAACCTCTCTGGAACCTCTGGATCCTCACTTCTCAGCAGGACTACACGAAGACCTCCAACAAAGCTCAAGAATTTGCTATGGAGGACGCGCAGGAGAAGAAGAAGAAATCATTTGAAGAACTGGTACCTTCCTATCTTCATGATTTTGCTGACATCTTCGCAAAGGATGGTCTGAACAAACTCCCTCCCTCACGACCGGGGGTAGACCACAAGATCGAAACGAAGGAAGGCTTCATTCCGAAGTCTTCTCGAGCCTACCTGCTCTCACCAAAGTAAACCGACGCTGTCAAAGCATTTTTGGATGAACACCTCGCCAAAGATTTCATCCAACCCTCGAAGTCTCCTCAAGCTGCTGGATTCTTCTTTGTCGGCAAGAAGGACAGATCTCTCCACCCCTGCCAGGACCATCGATACATCAACGAATGGACGATCAAGAACACGTACCCACTCCCTTTGATACCACCCTTGCTTGTGAAACTCAACAAGGCGCAATGGTTCACAAAGGTCGACATACACTCAGGATACAACAATATCCTCATTCATCCCGACGACAGGTGGAAAGCCGCGTTCTCCACCTCATATGGGCTCTTTGAGCCCAAGGTAATGTTTTTTGGATTGTGCAATTCACCCGCTACCTTCCAAGCTTACATGAACCAGACGTTTTCAGAAGAACTGAATGAAGGATGGTTAATCATCTATATGGACGACATCCTGATCTTTTCAGATAACCTGGACAAACACCGGCAGAGGACCCGCCGAGTGTTGGAGAAACTCCGCAAAGAGTCTCTCTTCCTCAAACCCGAGAAATGTACCTTCGACACTCAAGAAGTTGAGTACCTCGGTATGATCATTCGACCCGGACAGGTCGCTATGGACACTGCCAAGCTGAAAGGCATCAGCGAATGGCAACAACCCTCTTCGGTCAAAGACGTGCAGTCCTTCCTTGGATTTTGCAACTTCTACCGTCACTTCATTCCCCACTATTCCGACATCGCATGTCCCCTCCTAGACCTCACCAAGAAGGAAATCCCCTTCTCTTGGTCCGACTCCACCGAAGCTTCATTCCAGCATCTGAAGAAGCTTTTCACCACCGAACCGGTTCTGCGGAACCCCGACTCTTCGCGACAGTTTGCACTTGCAACTGACGCTTCACTCTTCACGACGGGAGCAGTCTTGCTCCAGACAGATAGCAATGGGGATTACCACCCCTGCAGCTATCTCTCCCAATCCCTTAACACGGCCAAACGGAACTACGAGATCTACGACCGAGAACTCCTTGCCATCATCCGAGCCCTTCAGGCTTGGAGGCACTTCCTCGAAGGAAACCCTCACCCGGTCATTGTCTTTACAGATCACAAGAACCTGATCTATTTCCGCTCCGCGCAACGACTCACCCGACGACAGGCCCGGTGGCACCTCACGCTCACCAACTTTGATTTGGAACTTCACCACGTTCCCGGAACAAAGCTCGCTGCACCGGATGCCTTATCCCGACATCCGGACCACGCCATAGCTGGTCAGGATAATGAAGATCGTATCCTCCTCCCTGACACCCTGTTCACCCGTCTGATTGACGCTGAACTCGCAGACGAGTTCCAATGACTCTCTGACGACCCCTCCGACCAGACTGTGAAAACAGCCTTGGACGCTCTCTCCGGGGTGTGCGCACCCCCCATGAAGTCTGCACTTTCCTATTGGAGGTTCACCGATGGTGTTCTCTTCTATAAGGATCGTGCCTACGTTCCCCCCGACCTCCGGCATCGCGTGTTGTCTCTACATCACGATCACCCTACCGCCGGGCACCCCGGGCGTTCGGGTACCGAATGGAACATCAAGAAATCCTACTGGTGGCCCGGAATGGGCTCCTTCATTAGGAAATATGTCGATGGCTGCGCCATGTGCCAGCAGATGAAGGTTAACACCCACCCCACAACACCTCCCCTCACCCCGATACCCTCCTCGGCCCTCCGGCCCTTCGCTCAAGTTTTGGTTGATTTAATCACCGACCTCCCCGAGAGCGCCGGCTACGATTCTGTCATGGTCGTGGTAGACCATGGGCTTACGAAGGGGGTAATTCTCTGCCCTTGCAGAAAAACCATCACAGCGGAAGGAGTAGCCGAACTTTTCTTCAAGAAAGTG